GGGAGAGAGCAGGGAGTTGAAGGTGGAGAAGAGTCGGCGAGGGCAGGTGGAGAGGGTGTTGATCAGGTCAACGAAGTAGGCCTGCTTGGCGGCGTGGAGGGAGGAGGTGTAGGTGAGGAAGGCAGATTTGTAGAGGGAGAATGCATGAGGGGACCTGGTTTTGCGCCATAGTCTCTCCAGCGCACGACTGATCATGCCGCCACTCCCAAAGAAGGAAGTTTTAAGCACCGATATTTTTGTATTAGTATTTGATTAAACATAGCTATTCAGATACATTATTCTGAGTGACTGAAATGTTTTGGAAGATTACATTTGTTGTTATGATTTCGGTTTAGTAACACTAAAGCAAATCTAAGCTCAAAATGTTTTTCATATGATGGGGAATTGTTAAAAACCCTGTGATTACTTTTTTTCATGTCCTGTTGGGGAGATTTTCCCTTACTTCTTGTCTTAAGCCAGCCATACATGGGTCAAATTCCAAAAGAATTGTTTAAAAAATCTTTTCTAAGAACTTTTGTTTGAATTTCGCATATTAGTGAGGCCACAGCAATGGGTGATTTTCAAGCGACCATCAAATTTAAATTTAAAGGATCAGGCATGTTGGAATTTGGAAAAAAAATTTTTTTAATTAAAGAATTTCAAATCAATAATGGGAGAATTGTGCGAGAGATGTAATTGAAAAAGAAATGAACATGAGCTGTGACCTGGAAAGAAAAGAAAATTCTTGGCCACAAAAATTCTTTTCTGTAGCAACATGACATGAAATTAAAGGCTTGGTTGGTCACATTTTGAAATTAACGGTGGCACCATCGAATTACAAAATGCACAAAATTTCTGATTTTCTAAAGAAAATTTGTTCAGAATTTGACCTATGTATGGCCTACAGTAGAGACACAAACAGTGATATAAAAACCTCTTCCAAAGTGAGGGGATATGTCTCTCGTGGCAGATGTTACCAGGAAAGAAGACAGAGAGAGAGAAAGAGAGAGAATTTGCTTTCTCTTTATGGTGAGAATCAGGAGATACTGTCACTCTTCTGAATACTAACCCATCCACATTCCTTCACCATCTCTGTAGCATAGATGGGTATATGGAAGTATGTGGCCTTCCCCATGTGGCAGAGTTCTGGGGCCAATGGTCAGGCTCAAACACAGGTAGGAGGGAGCAGTGAGGTCATCCACCAGGTCCAACACCATCCAACAGCATGTTGGACTCCTGCAATGGGGGGGTGATGACGGAGCATGAAAATGATAAGTATACCTTGCTGCTGGGGGGGGGGGGGAATATCAGAAGACTGTCACTTTGCTCTGAATAGGGCAAAGTATTTTAAGTATTTAAGCCTTGTACACAGAGGCCGAAGATCAATCGAAATCATCCAGCTTGGCAGGAACTGGCTGACCTTTGGCTCGTGTGTACAGCTGTCTGTTTTACTGAAGTGGGCCTCACGGCCAGCTTATGTCGAACAGGCATGCTGGAAAACCAGCATCCATCACTATCTGATCAGTGTGTTCTGGCTGGGGGAATAACCCTGTAAGAATAGAATAGCACAGCAGGGAAGAAACACAGCGCCATCACTTGTGTTAGTACAGTGATCTCTCAAGTTTTTTTTTTTTTCAGCCCGCTGGGTTGAACGAGAAAAAACTTCTAGTGCGTATGTGGCTTAAGGCTGGCCATACATTATACCCTTTTCTTGTAAAAATGTATCTTTAGATTTACCAAAAAGCATATAATATGAGGTCAAACCTAAACAACACTTTCAGTTGTATTCAATTAGGCAGGCCCTTGTACTATATAGTTGAAGGTAAATCTGAAAGAAATTGTACAGAAATTGTACAGAAAGTTGTATAATGTATTGCCAGCCTTAGACACTGTTACGTGACAAGATATCCGCCATGCAGGGAGGGCATTGTTTTCAGTGATTTGGCCAACTCACACACTTTGGTGGAAGGACCAGTATAGGACAAACATTGCATAGCAGGAATTCAAGTTTGACTATGTGATGGGGAAATATGCTCCCAAGTGCGTATATATTTACAAATTACACAAAGTAACAAAGTTATTTTTAAGATGAACATACATTGATAAGATTATTATAGCTGGCCACACAGATTCTTCCATCTATGCTAAACAGAGCAGATGGAACAATTCTGAACAATTGACTTATGTTGAAGGATCCAGGCAGTACCAGCAGGGAAATCCATGGCTTGATATTCGAGCCGTTTATGGCAGTCTTTACATCCAGCTGATCTCCTTTACATATATAAATGGAAAAGATGATACATTCCCTTTAAATGACTACATACTGGCTGCGGGTTAACCTATAATTACTTCATTCTGTGCATTAATAAAAATAGCTGTGCACCAGACAGCATCTGAGACTGGAAACCAAAAGAAAAAAACATCTGTGTCTAATAAAATGATTGCTAGGTGTCACAAAGGGTACTGGAGTAAAGTTCAGGAAAACGAGGGACTCTTGACAGAAAATGCCTTGCAATGACATCCGGCAGTGCCCCTTTTTAGTACAGAGGTCATTTTTTTCCCTGAACCCTGATGCAGATTTACTGCTATATACAGTGTTAATGCCTTTCTGGATATTATTATGTTCATTGTATATAGGAACTATTGCCAATATGCTTTCCTACTAAATAATCACATTATTATGAAAACTGGAAAAAGTACAAGAGTTACTGCTGACAAACAATAACATTTAATAGATTAATCTGTGTTTTAGTTTTGAGTGGATGGTAATGGGTTGTTATAAGGGACTCTGCAGGGTTGTTGCCAGTGTTTGTTACTCTTTAACTTAAAGTGTCATTAAACCCACATCATTAAAAACTATCAGTAAATGATGTATTACCTGCTGTTCATATTCATTCAATCACTGTAGGTTTCAGTTTATGTGTTCTGCAAAAAACCTGGTTGATACTGCTGTTCTTTATCTCCCCTTCCATCCATGTCCCCACTGCAGTTGGGGACTTGGCAGAGCAGTGTTGGCAACTAGTGTGCATTGTCAGTTTTCAGTGGGTTTCTAAACTGATTATTTCCTCCCTATCCCATCTAAGCAGCCCATGTGACTATAGAGTCACACATGTGGGCGTATACACAGTGGAAAAGAACAGCCCACTTCCTCCCTCTTCCTGCATGACCACTAACCAGCTAAACACAATGGGGGTGGGATATTACATCTTGATTGATGGAGGTTTTACCTCCCTGTTATTCTAATACACAGGCCGGAGAGGAGTGATACAGCCTATGACTGGCAGAAATCTGCCCACACCATGCTATTGACAAAAAATAATAAAGATTTTTTTTTCAAATATATACTTGTATGACAATTTTAGAGTTTATTGATATTAGTTATTTTTTACTCTGTATCCCAAAGGCTGTTTTTTTTAGTTTGAACATGTGACCAGCAGCAGAGGACTAGAAGCTCCTCCTGCCACTGTTTCCCTGCAGACTGGAAAGAGCTGGGTCATGTGACATCTGTATATCGGTTAGCAAAAAAGTATTCAGATTTTTTAAATTAAAATAACTACAGTGTCATCATCCATATAGAGAAAGAGAAGGGATAATATAAATTAAACAGTGTGTGTTTAGTATCACTTTAAAGTGTAACTGAGCATTTGTTCTGTGTGAATGGGCCAAACTTGATTGTTCTCAGTCTATATGCTCTGCAGATCGAGAATGTGTGAATTGAGAAAATACCCTATTATCGTAATTGGATATTGATATAATAAAAAAGTAGCTTCATTTAGTGGCCAATTAGAGGTAGAGTATTTTGCCCATTCACACATTCGATCTGCAGAGAATATAACCTGAGATTATTTGAGTTCGTACAAAATTATATACATTCAGTTTTGATGGATTAACACTCCTTAGTGTAAAATTCCTGTATAAGTGTAGATTGTAGAAGTAATGCTGATATTTTTTAAATTATTTGGATTGGGCTGTAATGGTTTAGTTTTCTTGCCCAAAACATCTCTGAGGCGGCATCTCCAAACCTCCGATCTGGGTCTGGAGCAGTACACATTTTATCCTGGTCACATGCGCTGCTTTCCTAGGAGTACTGCACCATGCCATATATTCCAACCGCTGTCTTATATCTGTATGTACTATTATGTGGGTATACGCATCTAAAAAAGGCAGAATGGAAAGGAGAGACACTGAAACCACCACTCAAACTGACCATAAATAAATTCCTTTTCCATGATTTATTTTGTACTTTAGTATATTTACTTTAGGCTGGACATTTCAGAAGGTGGTTGCACATGCAAGAATGATCCTGCTGCCCTAAGGCTAAGGACTTAGAGGAGCGCTGATCCACACCCCCGTAGGTTTCTATGCTTGGCCATGTTTATTTTAAGCTATTTAGTGGAAGCAATCTAACTAAAAGCAGGAAGTTATTATGAGGTTTTATAATGTGGCCATGTAATTTCATATACAATATTTCCTAGGACCAGGTGCACCCTATTGTGCAAGCATTGCAAACCTAATGACATTTCCATATTCTAAGAAGATAATGTTGCTGTACCGTTTGAAATCATGGTTCTACAGAATGACTGGCCTTTGTTGTGGAAATGGAAGAGTGTGACCAAGCTCTGGTAGGCAGGGTGAAACATGTCAAGAGGGCATGTGTGGAGTGGCGGCTGAAGCCAACACCAGTATCCTTACTGGGAGGTTGATGTGGTAACCGTCCTTTTTCTTTCATTGCTCTGAATTGATGTTAGGACACCAACTCCCACTCTCTGTTACTGGTTGGGGTTATTTCAGGCTTTCTGGCTTCGAGTACAATTGGGTGTGTCTGAATAGTTTGACAGAAGAAAACCTGGCAGGGCTGACAACACTCAGTCCACAAAAATGACGTGTGTTGTCAGCCCATAAATGGAGTTAGTTGAGTGCATTTCTGGCAGGTTAACATATATTGCCAAAAGTATTGGGACACGCCTCCAAATTATTGGATTCAGGTGTTCCAATTACCTCCATGGCCACAGGTGTATAAAATTAAGCACCTAGGTATGCAGACTACTTCTACAAACATTTGTGAAATAACAGGTTACTGTCAGGAGCTCAGTGAATTCAAGCGTGGTACCGTGATAGGTTGTCACCTATGCAATAAGTCTATCTGTGAAATTTCCTTGCTACTAAATATTCCACAGTCAACTGTTAGTGGTATTATAACAACGTGGAAGCAGCTGGGAACAACAGCAACTCAGCCACAAAGTAGTAGGCCACGTAAAATGACAGAGTGGGGTTAGTGCATGCTGAAGCGCACAGTGCGCAGAAGTCGCCAACTGTCTGCAGAGCTAAAAACCTTCAAATTTCATGTGGTCTTCAGATTTGCACAATAACAGTAGTAGTAGTGTAGAGAGCTTCATGAAATGGGTTTCCATGGCCAAGCAGCTGCATCCAAGCCTTACATCACCAAGTGCAATGCAAAGCATCGAATGTAGTGGTGTAAAGTACTCTAGAGCAGTGGAGACGTGTTCTCTGGAGTGATGAATCATGCTTCCCTGTCTGGCACTCTCATGGACATGACTGGGTTTGGCGGTTGCCAGGAGAACGGCACTTGCCAGACTGCATTGTGCCAAGTGTAAAGTTTGGTGGAGGGGGGATTATGGTGTGGGGTTGTTTTTCAGGGGTTGGGCTTGGCCCCTTAGTTCCAGTGAAGGGAACTCTTAAGGTGTCACCATATCAAGACATTTTCATGCTCCCAACTTTGTAGGAACAGTTTGGGGATTGCCCCTTCCTGTTCCAACATGACTGCGCACCAGTGCTCAAAGCAAGGTCCATAAAGACATGGATGAGCAAGTTTAGGGTGGAGGAACTTGACTGGCCTGCACAGAGTCCTGACCTCAACCCAACAGAACACCTTTGGGATGAATTAGAGCGGAGACTGCAAGCCAGGCCTTCTCGTCCGACATCAGTGCCTGACCTCACAAATGCACTTCTGGAAGAATGGCTAAACATTCCCATAGACACACTCCTAAACCTTGTGGACAGTCTTCCCAGAAGAGTTGAAGCTGTTATAGCTGCAAAGGGTGGGCCAACTCAATATTGAACCCTACAGACTAAGACTGGGATGCCATCAAAGTTCATGTGCGTGTAAAGGCAGGCATCCCAATACTTTTGGCAATATAGTGTATACGTTTCTTTAAAGGGAAATGTGCATGTAATTCAAAGATGTACTGCATTTTTTTTTGCCTTGACATACATTTTAAAATATTTTCACCTCCTTCACCTCTCCAATAACTGGAGACTTTTTGTTCAGGAAAATGCCACATCAAGGACTAAATCTGTTCTATAGGTAAAGGATGGTTCTATTCTTTATTACAGGGTTGCTCAACATTTTGAAGAGTGAGGGCTACTTTAGTGATTTGGTACTTGATCGTGTGCCACAAAAAAATTAAATGAACATTTTTCTCCTGCAGCCACTGAATGCTGGCAGGAGGGAGAGGAGAAATTATTATTATTATTATACAGTATTTACAAAGCACCAATAGTTCGCTCAGCACTGTACATTACAAAGGGGGACAGAACATGTGACAGAACAATACCAATACAATGCAAAACATGAGGGGATTGAGGGCCCTGCTCTTTGGAGCTTACAATCTAGGAGGGAGGGGATAGTGGTACAGGAGGAGATAGCTGTGGGGGATGGAGTGGTAGGAAGAGTGGAGGAGGTCGGTCAAGTTAGCAGGGGGTGGGGGTAGGCTTCCCTGAAGAGATGGGTTTTCAGGGTGCGCCTAAAGGAGAGGAGAGTAGGTGATAATCTGATGGGTTGGGGCAGGGAGTTCCAGAGGATGGGTGACACCCTGGAGAAGTCCTGGAGGCGGGCATGGGAGGAGGAGACCAGTGAACTAGAGAGAAGGAGGTCTTGTGAGGAGCGGAGTGTGCGTGCTGGGCGGTACTTGGATATTAGGTCAGTGATGTAGTTCGGGGCAGTATGGTGGACGGCTTTGTACGTCAGTGTTAGGATTTTGAATTTGATCCGTTGCGCAATCGGAAGCCAGTGGAGGGATTGGCAGAGGGGGGTCAGCTTTTTGGGTTGCAGGAGTAAAATGGAGAGGATTGGTTCCTGTATATGCTGCCTCTGCCACCCCTCCTGTCCGAGTATAAAACAGAATGTGACAGGGAGGCTGCAAAGGTCCCTTGGAGCATGGAGCGGGGTCACCATTGTGACCCCTGATGCTTCACCAGGGTTGGTTGGTGGTTGTGGTAAAAAAAAAGTCTCAACTGTGGGGTTTTACCCCCCCCCCCCCAAAAAAAACTGCAAATGTAAACGAGCCCTTACTGTCCTGAGCCCCCTCAGGGCTTCGTTCACACTGATGCACCATGGTTTACACGCATCACGGGAGGTGCGCAGTGCACCTGCAGCTTTCCTGAGGGTTAGTTGCGATTTACCATAGACTACTGTTATATCTTGTGGGTGTGGTGCACTTTCTGAAAGCGCACCAAGCCTGCAACATATAATAGAAGTTTATGGCTCAGTGCAGCTAACCCGCAGGAAAGCCACATGTGCATTACACTGCACCCGTGGATCTGTGTGAAAGCAGCCTAATAATTATTAACCCTTATATAGGTGATAATATGCTAAATTGCAAAAGCGCAGTGTATGAGTTGTTTTTTACACTGACCTTATTTTCCTCTTCATCACTCTCCATCTTCGGGCTGCTAGAAAGGTCCCAAGCAAAAGTCTCTTGGTATCAGTCTGGGACAGTAGTGGGCGCTACAGAGGAAGAATCGGATTATGCGGTTTCTGCTCCCTCCGCGGCCATCTGCTTCTTCAGCAGCCGGCACCAGCTCAGTGCACTCTGACGCTCTGGGATGGTGGGTTGGCAAGCCCAGAGCATTATTAACAAGTTGCCAACCCCGGGCATGCCCTGGTTTGAGGTCGCTGGCCACATCAGAAGGCTACAGGTTGAACCCCACCGCTTTATTAGGTCTCTAAAATTAACAAAAGTTATAGCCAAAACTTTGTGTTTCCATTCAGCCAAAAGAACATTCGTCAGGTCAGATGCTGATGTTAGATGAGAAGACCTGGCATTCTAGTTCATCTCAAGATGTTCAGCTGGGTTGAGGTCAGAACCCTTCAAGTTCCTTCACACCACACCCATCAATCCTTCTCTTTTTGGATCTGGATTTGTGTGCAGAGGTACAGTCAGGCTTGATCACAAAAGACCTTCCCCAGACTCTTGCCACAAAGTTGGAAGCTCAGAATTGTCTAGGATGGCTTTGTATGCTGTAGCATTAACAGTACCCTTTACTGGAAATACTTGAACGTAATAAATTGGAGGGGTGTCTACGCACATTTACCTTATAATGTATTTTGCTAGATATTTCTGCTTTGTCACAACCTGCAGTGCTTAGTGTTATTCTTATTGAATCATCTGGACTACATTGTGCCAGCATGCAGTATAACATAGTTACATAGTTAGTCTGGATGAAAAAAGACGAAAGTCCATCCAGTTCAACCATTAAAAAAAAAAAAAGTTATAATCCTATACCCACAGTTGATCCAGAAGAAGGCAAAAAACCCAGCTAAGCATGATTTAATTTGCTCCTGCAGAGAACAAAGTTCCTTCCTGATCCCCCGAGAGGCAATCGGATGTTCCCTGGATCATCTTTACCTATACATGTTAGTATCCAGTTATAACAATTGTGCCTTCTCTCAACAGGATTATTTGGGCTGCATTATAGACTGTGGTCAGCTCCCCCTCAAACCCGAGCAAGTCAGCACTTTATTCTGCAACATCGAAGATATTTATGAGTTTAACAGGTAAGTAGCATCCGTGTGAAATACATATTGGTCAAATGATGCCTATTATTTAGCTTGAAGTATGCCATTTCTTATAAGGGGTCTTGTACACAGAGTCTGAGTCCATTCAGCAGAACTGCAGCCATCTTTTCTCTGCCCGCACAGCCCATGTGCAGCATACAGCCTGTCATTGACATGAATATTTGTGTGCTGCTGTACTTGTGTTTACGGCAATGATACCATAACATGAGTACAGTTTACAAACGTATAAACATATAAAAAAACAAGGACATTTTTCCATCTTTCTGCATATGCCAGTTTGATGTACTCCTGTTTATGATTGTACTGCCATATACACAAGTAAAGGTATACAAAGCCATTCATGTCAATGACAGGCTGTACATTGCACCTGGGCGGAACTGCCTGTGTACAAGAGCCCAACAGCTTTTTCAATTCCTAGGAACACTGTAGCCTTTTAAATGTAGATAAATAAACATGAAAGTGGTTTGCTTAACCATAGTGTTTGGTGCCTTTATCACTAAAGTGATCCTTCACAACGTGCTGTTCCCTTGCAGTGCAGTACTTGGCATATTGTGTGATAGGCTAGGTTCACATATGTGCGGGTAGTGCTGCTGTGAATCCGCGCAAAAATCTGTGCAGCCGCACCACCCGCACAGAGGAATGCGGACCCACGGGCGGCTGCCATTACTTCTAATGGCACACTGCCCGCACTGGGCTGCGTTTTTGGAAGAAATGCAGAGACTTCTTCCCTGCGTGCCATGGGGCATGGGAGTCCATTCAAATGAATGGGCTCTTGTGCCCGTGCAAAACACTGCCCGCATGGCCGCATATATGGGAACCGGGGCTTAATGTCTATTGCCCTAAGGCAGGCCATTCATTGCAAGTAGGATGCTGATTCACAAACAGAGCTGCTGTTAGAAACCACAGGGCCCCATACAGCCAACTTGACAGTCCCCCCCCCCCCCCCAAAAAAAAAAAACAGTTTACAACGCTTCAATTATGAATGAACACAGTGAGTGATTGGTACGGATCATTCATTGTGTTCATTCGGGAAAGGGTTTAGTAAATGTGACATATTTGCCGGACCCTTCCCCCACTCTCCATCCTGAAGGATCCTATTATGTGCTTGCAGCTGTCAATGGAAAATAGAGGAGGGAAGCCAGCAGCACTGGGGGGGGGGGGGGGGGGGGCTGGGAAGCAGGGGGAAATGTATAGAGCACAGGGAGGGTGATGTGTGTGGCAGGGGGCAATTACTGGAACTGATTCCCTGCATGGCTCTCTCTGCAGCAGCTGAAAGCCAGCGGGAGGGAAAGGAGAAAAAGCCAGCTTTCAGCTTCTGCAAGGAGAGCCATACAGGGAATTGGTTCCAGTAATTGCCTCCACCCTCAACACTGTGGTCACCCTCCCTGCCCACATCCAATTCACCCAGCTGTCTGGGCCCCCCTGCTGGCCTGGGCCCCATACAGGAGGACAGGTGGTATCCCTCTATCCACAGCCCTGTTCACAACAATAGTAATGTAAAGATTCAATAGATGTGTTGTGGTGTGTTGTAGTGTAGGTCTGTTGGCACATACAACATTGTGCGTTGGTGAGCCATGTTAAATGAATGGCACTGCAATGTCATGCATTATGATAACACACTGTAAAACATGTATTTTGTCAAGCCTTACCACAAAGCATGTTATAAACTCAGCCTTAATGTATTTTTTCTACTTCTTTCTTATGGATGCGAAGTGAAGTAATCTGCCTTGATAGTAAAGAGGAAGGAAGATATTCTGCCTCCAACTGATGTATTAATGATTTATCCCTTGCTGAGACCTATA